AGTTGTTGCTTCTTTTTGTCTGCGCCGCCGTAATGACGTTAGCGCAGCGAGGGGAATTGCGCTTGTCGAAAGACAGATTTCATGATGACAAAGTGCTGGAAACAAAAGCAGCGCAAGGGCCGAGCTCGCTCGCCCGCTTGTGCTGCCGCCATTACGTCAACATTGAACAGCACATCGTGAAGAACTAACAATGCATCTTTGGCGTGGGCTTTTTAAATCTGCCGTTGTTAGGATGTCGGACGGACGGTGAGCACACCTGCCTCACTGTCCTGAGGTTCTGGGTTTGAATCTCAGCTGTAAAATGCGTGGATGTAAAATAAAAAGGAAACGTGTCTTTTGTTACCCACCGAATGGCACAAATTTCAGTCCAAAAAATAGCATCAAACAGTTAATGTCGTCATCATCAACGGGCTACCTGGCGTGGTCAAAATATTCCTTATTCTGGTTGCGGTAGAAGACGGAGAAGCGCAGCATCCGTCCGGAGATGGCCTCGGCCTTCGCCAGGAGCTGGTTGAGATGCACTGTGGAATAATCTGCAAAGAAGGGGCAAACGTCATTTTGTGCGAGCAAAGAAGAACGCTTGCGCGTACTTGAAAGGGCATCTGAGTTGGGGGATGAATGCAAATGAGCCTGCTGTCACGCTAAAAGGAAGTGGCAAACTTTTTTGTTTTTTTTTAAGCTAAAGCTTCACAATCTTTGCAGCGTTGCTTTTTGCGCTGCTTAACACGTACGTGTCACCCCCCCCGCATCACATGACCTGCTGCCTCCCCTCCCCCAACATCAACTTCTGCTGCCATTAAATGCCCTGACCTCCACGTTGCCAGATAAACCGCATGCGCTCGCCTCGCTGCTTTATTTAATCCCAACCGTCCTTCCCTCGTCGTAACGCCCTCCCCATCCTCCCCATCTGGATGAATCTCGTTACCGTTCGCTCGCATACTTAATGTAGGAGAAAAGTGCTTGGTCACATCCGCTGCGATGATGGAGCATCTTTCAGGGTGCAGTGACTTCTTCAAGGATACCTCCAACGTAAAGTCGCGACAATGAAAAGAGTCTCCGTTTTGTGTCAAAGAAAACATCAAACAAAGAGACAACAGAACAGCACTGCCTTCAGCACGCCCCGCCAGCTTAATGCTAGCATGTCATGGCTCATGCCATTGACATGCTAAGGCTTAACATTAACAGTGGTGGTTTTAGAAGCCTTTAAACACACAACTGCCTTGAAAAAAAGCCTGCTAGCTGAATGCTAACATAGAAGGGAAAATGCCATTGACAAGCTAATGGTTAGCCTGGGGACAGAATATCGAACAATACTCTGATATTCTTTAGATTCTTCAACCCAGGGATGACCAATGTGGTGACCGCGGTCCTGTTCTTAAAAATCGCTCGCCGCCGATGTGACATTGTCATTTTCTCATCGTGTCGTTATTTGAAAAATGTAAACACTGCTCGAGATTTCAGGAAATTAAAAGTGCGAGGAAATCATCGTCACCGTGACTCACCGGCGGTGCAGAACTCGACGATTTCGCTCCACTCCGACACGGCGTAGTCCCCGTCCGTCTGTTTGGACGCCGTCTGGACCGCCACCGTGTACTGAACAGTGGTGGTTTTAGAAGCCTTTAAACACACAGCTGCCTTGCAGAAAAGCCTGCTAGCTGAATGCTAACATAGAAGGGAAAATGCCATTGACAAGCTAATGGTTAGACTGGAGACAGAATATCGAACAATACTCAAGCTAGTCGATAGATTCTTCAACCCACGGCTGACCAATGTGGTGACCGCGGTCCTGTTCTAAAAAAATCCCTTGCCGCCGATGTGACATTATCATTTTCTCATCATGTCGTCATTTGAAAATGTAAACACTGCTCGAGATTTCAGGAAATTAAAAGTGCGAGGAAATCATCGTCACCGTGACTCACCGGCGGTGCAGAACTCGACGATTTCGCTCCACTCCGACACGGCGTAGTCCCCGTCCGTCTGTTTGGACGCCGTCTGGACCGCCACCGTGTACTCGGTGCGCGGGCTGAGGAACCAGTGGCCGCGCACCGTCATGGGGAGGGGCACCGCCTTGGCCACCAGCTTGGTCGGCACATCCTGGAGGGAGACGCATCAACCGGACTTCAATCGCATATGCGGTGGGACCTGAAACACTTGAAATGTCATTCCTGTTGGTACTGGAGTACTTGTGTGTGGGTTGTGTGCCTTTAAGGGGCGTGGCCTAATGACTATGGTAGGATCTCGTTGGCCGCTTAGTGTACTACGCTCCATTTATTTTTTTCCGTAACAAGTTGCCACTGTAATTCACAAACACCACATCACAGTGACCCCCTTTCATCGAGGACGGACCCCGCCACTCCCCTTCCCCCCCACTCCCTCCAACACATGAGCCTCGAGGGACAACTGCACCAATATTTCATGCTCCGCCCAGCAACGACGTGGCACAGTTCTTCTCCCGACACCCCTGCTGCTGCACACTTCATCCAAACAGCGGCGCGCCGTTGCCCGCCATGATGTCAAAACGAGCTTTTGATCTTCACATAAGTTTTGCTATTTGCCGTCAAAGATTTCAACCGAGGTCGCCAAGAAAACAGCACTTTCGTTGCTTGACAATTAAATGACCTTTTTATCCTACCACCTTCATCAATTATTCAACTAAATATTAGCTTTGACCCGTTTTTAACTCATTCGTGCATTTTACCAGCTTTCGGGATGTCTCTTTCTTTCTGTGGGTTTCACCATCACAAAAAGTCAACAGACAGCAGCACCGACAGTTTGTTTAAAGTGCTAAATGTGTGTCTTCCAAAAACAAGCTTCTTGTCTTTTCCGAATCCCACACCGGCGTTTCAGAAATCACGGCAAAGTTGATTACATTTGCAGAACGAAAATGAAATCAATGCAACGCGGCTCCCGTGCAAGCTTTGCTGCATTTTGTCTGCGCCGCCGTAATGACGTTAGCGCAGCGAGGGGAATTGCGCTTGTCGAAAGACAGATTTCATGATGACAAAGTGCTGGAAACAAAAGCAGCGCAAGGGCCGAGCTCGCTCGCCCGCTTGTGCTGCCGCCATTACGTCAACATTGAACAGCACATCGTGAAGAACTAACAATGCATCTTTGGCGTGGGCTTTTTAAATCTGCCGTTGTTAGGATGTCGGACGGACGGTGAGCACACCTGCCTCACTGTCCTGAGGTTCTGGGTTTGAATCTCAGCTGTAAAATGCGTGGATGTAAAATAAAAAGGAAACGTGTCTTTTGTTACCCACCGAATGGCACAAATTTCAGTCCAAAAAATAGCATCAAACAGTTAATGTCGTCATCATCAACGGGCTACCTGGCGTGGTCAAAATATTCCTTATTCTGGTTGCGGTAGAAGACGGAGAAGCGCAGCATCCGTCCGGAGATGGCCTCGGCCTTCGCCAGGAGCTGGTTGAGATGCACTGTGGAATAATCTGCAAAGAAGGGGCAAACGTCATTTTGTGCGAGCAAAGAAGAACGCTTGCGCGTACTTGAAAGGGCATCTGAGTTGGGGGATGAATGCAAATGAGCCTGCTGTCACGCTAAAAGGAAGTGGCAAACTTCTTTTTTTTTTTTAAAGCTAAAGCTTCACAATCTTTGCAGTGTTGCTTTTTGCGCTGCTTAACACGTACGTGTCACCCCCCCCTTTACATGACCTGCTGCCTCCCCTCCCCCAACATCAACTTCTGCTGCCCTTAAATGCCCTGACCTCCACGTTGCCACA